TAAAACAGAGTGATTTTTACCTCTCGCGAACACCGTGCATTCTTCGAATGATCATATTAGCTCTAAAGTATAGAACCGACACACCGCTTTGTTTATTTGCCTATTCGAGTAATACAAACGCGTGAATTCATAATTGTGTACAGTGACGTCGTCAAACATGAATATACGATTCATTATATAAATAACTAACAGCTTAGCTGTTGATATTAACATTATACAATATTAATCACATTCACCTTCAGTCTAATCCATTACTTTTTTAGCGAAGAGATTAACGAGGAGTAAACGTTTATCATTTGCGAAAAACATTTTGATATGGAAATCTTTGAGGTTTAATCTTATTTCGACGTAAAGCTCACATGATGACGAATTACGCAATGATAGCTGCTAAGCTTTTCTATAGGTTCTACTACTAACTATTCCGAATGTTATATTGTCATTTATTCAAGTGCTATTTAAAGATTTAAGGTGGCGCCTGTGACCCCAGAGCTGGTGCTTTCCTCCCTCAACTAATAAGTAACACAATACAGGAGGAAATGCTGCCAACGTTTATGTTACACAGCCACAGAGAACAAACTTTTAAATTTGTTTTAATTTGCTTTTTCTTAATGTTTCAATGTAGGTTAAGAAAATTTGATTGTTATGTTTAGGTTTTAATAAACGATACAATATTTATATTTATACTTATATTTATGCATACATTTGATAAAACTGCAACGCTGGGGGCTAGTGGGTGTGTTGGACCTTTTAGGGAATGCTCTTTTCTTGTATGTCCTTAAGTCGTATCGCTTTGGAAATACCTCTACAGGCAGCTGCTTCCCACAAAGAGGTGGTGAGCGGCAGGAAGTGCGTTAAAAGCGCTGTGTTGGAACGTAAAGCATTGAGGTGGAGAGAATGGAATTATTCCATGATCTTTTCATTAGATAGGAATATTTAATGATGAGTCATGATTTTCTATATTGTCACTGCGTTCGTTGCTTTCTCCTTGATTAATGTTTTTTTGTTGCTTTTATATTTTCTATGTACTTACCTGTTTGATGTGGATTTTTTATACATTTTACACTCTTGTTTTGAGGTGTTATTTGTGTATTATCATCTGTTTGTGTGTTTTCGAAATATAAAAATAACGAGCAAAATTTCGCCAAAAACAACAAATAAATAAATATAGTTAAAAAAAAACTAAAAAACACGCTTTTAAAGCACATCAAACTAAAAAGTGAAAAATAATTCCTAATTTAGGCTGAAAATAGTAATGAACAAAAAATACTGGTATTATTGTGAAAAAGCGTGGGTTGCTCGATAGACGAAAAATATGGCGTTAAAAGCGTGTTTTTTAGTTTTTTTAAACTATATTTATTTTCCACTTTTTAGTCCTAGCAGCAATACGTGTTGTCTCAATTTAACTTATTGCTTTGTGGACTTAAATAAAATTCATTGTTTTTTCGAGATAAACCTATGAAATTATTATATTGTCGCTGATTCTTTATAAGTGTACAAAGTTTGAATTAAATCTGTCCGTTTAAAGTGGGTCAAAATCGAGTCCGAAGGAGTCGGTTACATACATACATACAGGTGAAGCTAATATAAAGCGTGTAAAAAATATAAATGACTTACTATTAAAAACTACTGTCTTCAGTTAAATTTCCTTTATTTTCGAATGCATGCATCTCCAAATTCAGGTAAAGTTTAATGCAACATTTAAGCGAGGCTGTAGTGAGCGAAGCGCCGGTCGTGTCTTGTTTTAAATTATTTATGAACGTTACTTGCTAAAGAGATTACTAAGTGTGCGGATAATCGTTATTTGGTGCATATATTTTGCTAAACTATCGACCTTAATTAAGAAACGTGATTAAAGGGACACTACCCGATTAAAAGAATTTTTTATAAGATAGAAGGGCAAAAGAACTTACGGGACACCCATTAAAGTCAGTAATTACAGCCCATGTACACACTAAAATGGATGCCATTTTAGTAGGTACGTTACTGACCTTTCTGGAACAAGTAAGTAAGTTTACAAAATTGCGCTTTTCGCAATTGTGGTGCATTATATTTAAAAAATCAATGATGGAATGTCTTACACAGTACACATATATTAAACAGTACAAGTAATTATGGGCACAGAATATATATTTATACTTCCGCCATGCCGCAACTTTCATTGACGTGTGATTGACGCACCATTGAATTGTTCTATGTGATGAATATATTACTTGCGTTGTGCAGAAAATATCACGATGAACGCGGATTTTTTTAATGAAAAGAAATGGCCTAAACATAAAGACAAACGATCAAACCTAAGTCCAAAACCATATTTGTGTTTTTGGACTAGTTACATGATAAGTCCATTATAAACATAATACCGGAGACCAAGCAACGGGTCACGATCTTAATGAAGGTAGTGTTGACATAAACTAATTAGATGTAATTATGAAAGCATGAAAATACTTTTGAATACAAGATAATCCATTGAAGGACATATGTAGGTCGACCGGACTAGTGAAAAGGTGTCACAATTAGCTCGGGACGACAGCTGCACATTCATTTTTTTTACTAACTTTCAGATCTTTTGATACTTAGAGTGATATTCAGAAACGAGGTTTATGGCTAACACTCCCGTAAGTAAAAATTGTAATCGTTTTTGACATACGTATAGTATATATTATAGTATGTATAGCATATAGTTCGCGTTAAGGCCTATGTCACCTTAAGATCTATGGTAAATTATATAAGAGAAGTTAGCTTATTATTAGTAATAAGTCGTCCGGAAGAACTGTGCAATAGGTAGTTTAATGTACCTCAGTTTCTGTATCTGTATCTGTTTCGTGATGTTATTATATATGCAAGCATCAGCCTTCTGTGTATGACACTTTTTGAGACTAAGGCATGCCGGTTTCCTCACGACGTTTTCCTCACCGTACGAGTGACTGTTAAATGCGCACATAGAAAGTGCATTGGTGCACATTTTTAACTATGGGTAACATTTTAATAAATAAAATTAATACCTAGAAGACTACCTCTAACTGTAAGCTGTATAAAAAAACTAGCTGTCACGTGGCGCGCTGGGCCGCACGCGGCGCGCCATTGCGTTGTATGGAGTTAAAGGTCACATCACCTATGAGATCAGAGATGAGAGGGGAATAAGTCAGATTCCCTAAACAAAGAAGGGAATTCCGGGACCTGTGAAATATGTAAATGCTTTCAGATACTTAGTCCAATACTTTCCGGTCTCAAGCTATTTCTTTTGTTAATCATCCGCGCTGCCCTTAGGCACCAATTAGTTTAGCCTCCTGCCCGATTGCCCGCCCCCCTGTTATATAAAAAAATACTAATAATATGATAAAAATGTAACAAAAAAAATTTTTTTATATAATATTATTTAGTTTTAAACACTATTGTTCGGGTTTCCAACAGCAAGCTAGAATATAAACATTTACTAAGAGCTTTTATTGAATAGTACACAACTTTTACTAATTGATATTTTGTGAATAATGTGGTCATCTGTATTTCCTCCATATTAACAAATATTGCGATGCACATATTAAATCTTTTGCCGTAATTATCATTACTAGCAAACGAGCAAATATTTTACTTCGGCACACTTCGTATATTTTCCAATTTGTAATTACTTTATTATTAATTGGTTGTATATGTAGTTATTACAATATTAATTAACAATATCTGACTAAGTTAACTTGTATAATTCCCAACCCTGAGGTCGTGCATTTGAATCACGAAATGCCATCCGTATCACCTCGACGTCCGTCGTTCCACAACTGAGCGTTTTTAGGCAGTTTTGCCGCACACCACGAAGTATTTCCAAACCAATTCGACTTAGGGTCCTAGGACTTCAAGAAAAGGAGCGTACCAATTTATAAAAGGTCGGCAACGCATTCGCCCTCTGGCATTGAGAGTGTCTATGGTCGGCGGTGTAAATTAGCATCAGGTGAGCTCCCTGCCCGCTTGCCCCCAGTTTTATAAAAAAAAACAGTACGTATAGAATAAAGATATGTAATTAACTGTAAAGAAAATATATATATATATGGACTGTTTGCTTGACCCGTAGGATTGATGAGCCACAAAAGGGTTTTCTTTTAACCAAATCGTCCCGGAAGGAAATTAGTAGGGCCCCAATTTACGACCGAGATTAATGTCTTTTTAATTTCTATATATATCTACACTCATCCATGTTATAGATAGGACATATTTGTGTCTGTAACGAAAAATCTTAAAAACTACTAGAGAGATTTAAAAAATTCTCATTTAAAATATATTTATAAAAATAGTAACACTATTCCGGAACAAAATAAGCTATATTTATTTCCAATATTAATTAATATATAAATTTTTGTCCAAGTTTAATGCAAAATAAATATAACTGTGATTTATTATTTCGCGTTATTTTGGTTCATATTATTAAGTAGTTGTTGTTAATAAATAGGATTATTTACCTCTTTCGGGATCTAATTCCCTATATATTAAAGAAACTGTAATTGTAATAGCAACAATCAGCCTTTAATATCTGGAACAATTATTGTTAACCACTACTTCACGGTGATATCGAAGCGATAAAGTTTTTGTGCTATAATTAAACGTATTTTAATTATAATTACGTCGTATTTCATAGAAACTTAACGGCACGATCGTAAAGTCTCAAATCTAAAGATAATAATCTTACTTTATTGCGTCTACGAAAGTTATGCAGAAAACACTGTTTCAAATCCTTGTTAGTTACGACGAAACATAACTTTAAAATTGTCTGCGTATTTTCTCTCAAATGGTCAAAATTTACGATATGTTTTTTTCCTTAAAATTAAGTTTTTATTTAAAAACCTGTTTAAATTATTTCTGGTGTTCTTCATTTCTGAAGGTGGTGTTAGTGTCATCGCACAATTTCCATCTCGCCACCTTGTCTTTAGCAAGCCTCAGCAGCTAGGATGGTAAGACCTGCAATCTTTGCCAGCAAGTAGGGAATCTGCGTAGAGGTCTGCTAGTCAGTCACAATGAGTTATTCAAAATTTAGACATTTACGTGTTACTAATCCAAAAAACTCAGAATCCGGTGGAAACAAAGAGTCGAAAGACCACTTTTTGCTTGAAACCGTCTTCGTATTAACAGGTTTGTTATCTTAGCTGTCCAAGGAATCCTAAGCATCGGCGGCCACATTTCCAGAGTATTTATTTTCTTCTTTAATCCTCTCATTTTCCATCCCTCATTCTCTCTTATTGTAATAACGTCGATTAAAATTAATGTTCTGAGGTCGCTTTATTTTTATTATAAGCCTCATTATGTGGAGTAAGGTGTAACGGTTGCTTCTTACAAATATTTCCACATTCTCGACAATTGTTCTCGTCCATTCTACGCCCTTGATTTGAGTACTGGGAGAATTTAGTAATTTTTTTTTAAGTTACCGTAATTTATAAAATAATTTTGGTTCTGTGTTAATGATAATTGGACATGGATGGAATAGTATTGCACTGTTTAATGACAAATGAAAATCTAAATGAAATTGATAATTTGGCAAAGTTTAGTCGTTATTCAGATCAAATATTTTGATTTAAAATGAAATAGATATTTAAAGTTTAATTTTGTCTATAAAACCTTTAAGAAAATAAAACAAGATAATATATAAAAGTGAAACAAGTATGCAAATTCAACAAGACAAAAATATGGTATGATTCAACGAATTTATACAAATGGAGTTTAATATGAGAACATACATATAGTTTTTATTCATTTAAACTTTTTATCTCAGCGAAAACACAATTTGATAGAAAAAATATAATAAGACTAGGTTTGGGATATAAGCATCACATAGGTTGAATTTTAAATAAGATCCGGATAATTTAATTTGGTGTTATAACATATATGTATATTTTATATATCTTAGAACTATTGGTAAAGTATTGCAGCTTAGAAATATTTGGAAGTTTTTAGAAGTTTGCATATAGTGATGAATGTTCTACTCACAATTTTCTCTATTTCAAGTGTTCGTTCTTTCGTAACGAAACAAAAGACCAACAATAGATATTTACAATGAAACACGAAACGAAAGCTTTCAAGGTATTACAATTTTTGCGGAATATTTCTGACGGCAAAAATCGCATTCTATATATTTCTCTCGCTTCAATTTAAAATTTAAAAGAACCGTCTACGTCGAACGTACTCGTAAAAAATATTAGAACTTTATAGTTTTTTGAAGTGGCCAATTTGTAGTGTTTGTGCGACAACTTTTTAACGAAATAAAAATGCTTATTTAATAAGATGAAGAAAGGGCTTACGCCCTTTATTCAAAGAGAAATAAAATTTATTTCAAATACGAAAGTGGCCATGAAAAGAATCAGTCTCATTACGTGTATAAAGTACTCATTTGTTCCTTTCTATCAAATTATGTTTACGCTATGTTGAAAAGAAACAACAGTACAAGAGAAACTAGAACAGAAGGAACTGACAATTCAAGTTTGGACTGATCTAGTTTTTGTGAATAAGGATTGGTGATGAAAACAGTGTATGAAATATATCGGTATCTTCTATAAAATGTGATCTATTGAGTAATCATTTAATAATATACACTAATTCTATAAATGTACTGGTTTTAGAAATATCGTATCTCTTTGGATAAATGTAGGGAACCTACCGCCATCTATTGGTGGTTTTAAGGAACAGATCTGTTCTTCACAAGTTTGTATACATTTGTTCACATATGATAATAGATAGACGCTGTAAACAAATTAGTAGTAATAAGCCACTTTAATTCCATACTACTCCATAAAAATTACAAATCAAAAAGGGTTAGTTTAGTTATTATACTTAGTCTATGTTAGTTATTGTTATTTCCATGACTTGGTGTTCTGCAGTATGGACCCCTTTTGGGTAAATGCATCCTCCTGAACTTTTCATTGGCATCTGTTATTTGCTTCCTCCATCCATTTCTCCCCAGAAACCTTTACGATATCGACAGCCTATATTTGTGGTCTCTTTTTCCTGCAGGTCCCAGCGGGTGGCTTCGGCAGTCCATCTTTTATCTGTACACCTTGCAATATGGCCTGCCCATTTCCATTCCAACTGTAAAGCGTGGGTTAGCGCGTCGGTGATCTGACTTTTCTTTAAAAAATACAATTATTACCATTAAGATTATTTAATCTAAATAATACAACCATTTTAACCATGAAAAATACTGGGTTGCTACAAATCTTGACTTACACAAGATACGAAGAAATTATTATCGGTTATTTTAAATTTGCACGCTATGTCACTTAATAGATTTTATGTGGACTTTTTAAATTAAAAAATTCATGTATTAATGTTACTAGAGTTAAAAATTACGCTATATTTACTTACGTAAGGTAATAGATTATTACATTTATATTATTACTATGATTATTTGTAATTAAAATATATTTTTTTAAATTAATAATTTTGCAATACAGCAAGGAAATGTTGCCAGCATCAAAGCTGCCACAGATTGCCAATTTTAAAATTTATTATATATTTGTATATATCCATTTTTAATAATTATTATTACTATGTAGGTTAAGAATATTGTAAATACTCTATATGTGTATGTTACTTGTTAAACATTTCAATATTTCTTCTTCTTTCTTAAATGAGTGAAAAGAGTGAGAGAACGAAGCCCCTGAAGTAGCACAGATACAATAGAGACGAAAACCGGCACCACTTTTATTTTTCTAATGGCGCGTCTAAACGGGCCATGTTTTGCTGCAATTGATGGCTGCACTGTTGGCCACTAATTGCCCGGCCATTACAAAAATATTTTATTGCAGCTGATGGCCGAACAATCTATGGCTGGGCAATGTGTTGCAATATGTCTGCAATAGTATGGCCCATGATGCAGACTCCTAAACGGGCTACACAAACCGGCAACAATGGCTGACGAAATCACACTTGTCGCAGCAGCTTATATTGTTTTAAAAAAGAAACAGAAAAAGAAGAGATTGTGGATTCGACCTTACTTAAATAGGCGTGAAACTGTAGACAATTTGAGTCTAGAAATAAGTCTTGATAATAAATTATTCAAGAACTAGAATGTCAAAAGTAGTCATTTTTACGTAGTAATCTAACGTCAAATACAGCTGATCGCAAAACACAGAATAAAGCAACAGGCACACTTCACTCAAAGCAAACGTCATGTCGCGTAGAAAAGGATACACTATGCCATAACAAAGAGAGTGACTGAAACAACAAGAGAACTGGCCGTGCAATATTGCAGTTGAATTCGATAGCCTAGCGATCGTCCGGCCACCTATCGGGGCAACGTTTTAGTTAAACGGGCCATGTTTTGCTGCAATTGATGGCTGCAACACTGTGGCAGGCAACATTGCAAACAATAGCAGCCACACTATGCAATACTGCAGTAATGTCCCGGCCATATAGCCAAACGTGTTTTGTATAGCCACATATGGCCGATGTTGCCCCGATAGGTGGCCGGACGATCGCTAGGCTATCGAATTCAACTGCAATATTGCACGGCCAGTTCTCTTGTTGTTTCAGTCACTCTCTTTGTTATGGCATAGTGTATCCTTTTCTACGCGACATGACGTTTGCTTTGAGTGAAGTGTGCCTGTTGCTTTATTCTGTGTTTTGCGATCAGCTGTATTTGACGTTAGATTACTACGTAAAAATGACTACTTTTGACATTCTAGTTCTTGAATAATTTATTATCAAGACTTATTTCTAGACTCAAATTGTCTACAGTTTCACGCCTATTTAAGTAAGGTCGAATCCACAATCTCTTCTTTTTCTGTTTCTTTTTTAAAACAATATAAACTGCTGCGACAAGTGTGATTTCGTCAGCCATTGTTGCCGGTTTGTGTAGCCCGTTTAGGAGTCTGCATCATGGGCCATACTATTGCAACACATTGCCCAGCCATAGATTGTTCGGCCATCAGCTGCATTAAAATATTTTTGTAATGGCCGGGCAATTAGTGGCCAATAGTGCAGCCATCAATTGCAGCAAAACATGGCCCGTTTAGACGCGCCATAAAACAATTTTTGAGCGGTGGCGAGCAGTGTTGGCCTAGTGACTTCAGCGTGCGACTCTCATACCTGAGGTCGTAGGTTCGATCCCCGGCTGTGCATGTGCTATGTGCGCTTTTAACATTTGCTCGAACGGTGAAGGAAAACATCATGAGGAAACCGACATGTCTTAGACCCAAAAAGTCGATATATTTTTTTTATTAAACAATTTTCGTTTTTTTGTCGTTTTGTGGTACTTAGACATGCCGGTTTCATCGTGATACTTTCTTCACCAAGAGTGCTTGTTAATTTAATTTAATTGTTAACTGCGTAAATAGAAAAACATTGTGCACACATGGAGTTCAAATGTGTGACTTTAAGGTTAGAAAACCGCTTCTCTAACACTATTTTTATTCATGACTGTTATATTACAAAGTCGCGAGCATCGCCTTTCATTATATTTCCGCAGATATTTGCAGGAATAATTTAATTTCTGAATTTATGAATTCCTCTATACAATGTAATTGAAATAATCTATTGCGAGGGTGTTGTACCCCCGCGTACCACGTAGAAAGTTGCATAGCCGAGGCGAAACTCGTAAAGCCGTGCAAATCATAATGGCAGCCGCGGGAATGGTTTACGGCACGCGAGGAAGATGCGATATTTCCGCGGGTTTCCATTCCCCAACAACGCAAATTATATCGCTCACACCTTCCACAACATTGTTGTATAAGCATATGTATAGGATTTCAATTTTCTTTCACGTTCCGCCCTTTATAGATTGGGAACTATGTATTTGTTATGCGGGCGATGTATTTGTACTGATGGACTGACTCAGAAATAGAAAACAAGTAATAACATCACTTTATTATTTGGTAAATTACTTTTACTATGGTTACGGAATATTTATTTCTCTTAAAACTTAAAAAAAAATACAGACTTGTATTAATTTTTCAAATTTAAATTATTTGAATTGTCTGTTTTTTTATGGCAATAGTTTTAACTTTATGCCAGTTTCACGTAAAAGAATTGCCGGTTTAATGCCAATTCAATTTACGATTATAGAAATTTTTAATTCCGCTTTTTAAATCTATGTCTAGACAATACGCTTACTACTTACTTATTTACTCACACAATTACCATTATTGCTATGTTTTGACTATAGTACTGTTTTGTCTCTTTCCGTCTTAATACTGAGAAAAGAGAACGATTAGTGATTTTTGTTAACAGTCTAATTGGACAATATTAGTTTTATGAAACAAAAAATATAATATGAAACAATAATATATAACAATACCTAGATATGAGAATTAACAATAAAACAGACACACCTCACTTCATTGCCGGAATCCATATAGTATTAAAGCTAATTAAGAGTTTTTCAACAGGTCGGGGGCACACGGAGGTACTGGTGGAGCTGCAGATGGAGCGGTGGGTGGGGCGCGGGGGTTCAGTACGGTTACGCTGCCTGCACGACGTGCCTCCCCATCTTCTCGACAAGGTGGTCTTCCTACGGCAGGGCACCAAAATCTTCCAGTACATTAAGAACCGCAAGCCGCCATACAGAAATTTTACCACACCCGGTGCTGTTCTCAACGTAAGTTAATATTACAATAATACTACACATTTAGATATAACCTTTACAGAATTGAACGCAAATGTATTGTCATATCAGATTCTCGCTCCGACTAGTTTTATTCGTTTTAAACTCTAAAGAGTTTTGCTTGAGTATAATAACTTGTCAGGAGTAATGTTGGCCTAGTAGTTTCAGAGTGCGACTCTCATTCCTGAGGTCGTAGGATCTATTCCGATCTGTGCACCAATAGACTGTCTGTCTGTGTGCATTACACACTCGCTCGAGTAAACCGATTTGCCTTAGACCCAAAAATTCGATGGCTTGTATCAGGAATAGGAGGCTGATCACCAACTTGCCTATTAGATTGACAAATGCTCATGAAACAGATCAGAAATCTGAGGCCCAGACCTAAAAAGGTTGTAGCGCCACTGATTTATTACTTACTTATCAATACAAACAGTCTCGTATAAACGTACTATTCGACTATATCATTCATTCCCGTGCTACTTTGGAAATCAATACAATTGGGAAAACATTATTTAACTAATAAATTAAGTTTAAAACTTCTCAGAAAGTTATATATAATTAAAGCCGGTTTCCATAGAAACTGACGCACTATACAAAAGCACGGCGTACACTTTATGATAAGAAAGAATACTTTTCAAACATGAACAACTAATTGTCTGTTTATTGTACCTATAACGGAGAATTCATATCAATAAAAGGTTTTTGGAAGTAGATTTCGCATCAGAATGAGAAATTGTATGTTATTTTGTTAATTATTTAATTTATTCGTTGTAAGTAGTAAATTATATTTGAGTATAAAAGAATGCGTACGGTATTTAAGACTATATGTAAATGATTATTTTTTTATTCATTTTATGAAGGAAAAAAAAACATTTTACAGAACAAAAAAGGATATATAGCAGTATTTCCCAACGTGTGGCCCAAGCCTCACAGGGGGGAAATTTGATTCTTAAGGGGGGCTATTCGAAAACGTATTAAAATTATGTGGAATTAGTTTTTCATATCTTTTACTTACTGTGTATCGTTAAAAATTTCCTAGTAATTTCTTCCCAAAAAGGAAAAAATATAATAGGTATAATTTCTGTTTCTTTAATTTAACGATAAAAAAAATTGTGTATGTTGCATTTTTAGTAAGGCTAAGGTGGGGCATGGCACAAAAAGGTTGGGAAACACAGATGTATAGTTAAAAGATAAAGTGCACTAGCCCCCACACTAGGATTCCCTGTGTCGTGGGCAGCTAGTCTCTTCCATTTGACATATTGATTTTAGGTACTTGGCGTTATAAATTCTACATAGCACTTAATTTTTTTATAATTAAACTACTATTGCACAAGCAGAATACTTTCCGTTTCAGCATAGGACTGATTTAGACGATGTTGCTTATGATTGTTAGTGAATGTATAAAGTTTTGAATCGTTAAAAACAAAATTTTCACCCAGTTTATCCAGTTGTGTTTGAAATTTTTTTACAGAACTTTAAAAAATATCAAACACAACTCAATTCAAACATAAAACAACTGGAGGGAGATATTGACTACATACGATCTTATTCATAAACGTTTACTTAAACAATATCGCAAATCAAAATAAAATTTTATTGTGCAATGCTTCGTATATTCTTATAATTTCGAATATTATAGGGTATTTCGTCTAGTGGCTTGAGCGTGCTCTCAACCCTGAGATTGTACAAATCACGGCTGTGTACCAATTATTTTGAACTATCTTTCTGTGTGAAACACTCGCTGATGAAGATGATCGTGAGAAAACAGCGTGCCTCTGATTCAAGAAATCAACGACGCGTCTCTTACCTACGATCACTTAGTTTAAAAAAATATCAAGATAGAAATAAAGACCTAGAGGCCCACTCGTTTCGTATTAAAAATAATTAACTAATAGTCCATTTAATTGTGTAGCGAAAACGTAAATATATAATAACAGTTTTAACAATATTTAACTGAGCTCCCAGTTCGGCGTTGTTTTCTAAATTATTAAAGATATGTATGTGGTCAAAGCAATCAAATTGTAATTGTATACTAGAAATACAATATACATGCAACGTAATTTATTTAGGCGCAATAGCTCACAACATAATAACATTCTGTAATTTATGGCCAAGCTGATTTCATGCAATAATCATGAAAATTTATTTTATTTACAGAAACACATACTTACAGACTATGCCAATACGATAATGACGAGAAAAAATAAAATAAAGTATATTATATTTTAAAACAATTAAATATGTTTATCATGGAACATAAGATACAAGTATCACTTATTCCACGTCATTAAATTTGAATCTGTAGACATCCCTACTCATCGGCAAAGAAGACAGAGGTTGTAGGCCGAGAGAAAAAGCCGGCGTAAAAAACTCTCGGTACTCTTTTAAAATACAAATCATCAAACAACACTTATACAAATATCGCAAATTAATTTTAAAAGGCAGATATAAAAGAGCCTCTGGGATTTTACTAAAGAAGACTATCCCTTTTCCCAAAAAATAATTACTAACTTTAGATAGTCTAGTACGGGGAACACGTAACATACCCAATATCGTGACTGTGAATTCACTCTGCGAACATATAAATATGTCGATAGTATCGGAGACAGGATTCAGTAGGCGCAACGTCTTTTATAAGGGGGATCTGTGCAACAGACTGGTTCTGGCCCAATCTTGGCCTTTGCCGTCGCACATATCCCATAGATACAAAGAAACCGAGTTCTTGGAGCACACTTGGGACTAGCCCTCGCAAGACTTTCAGTACATAGTAGGCCAACTGTAAATCCCGTCTGTTTTCCAATTTATTGTACCCCATCAGCCCCAAGACTAATAATATCTGGTACGTTAAATATTTTATACTTAACAATTTTTATTAACCCCGTTGATTGTTCAATAACTTATATTTAGTAATACAACTATAGTTAGAAGCAATGTTCCGTAACTCCTTAATGACACAAGAGAGAGCGTTCTGTGTAATTCAGTGTAATTTAATGGGTTTGTAATGAGTATTCTTAACGTTTTCTTTTCAGGGACATAAGACATGTCGATTAACTGCTAAACCATGGAAGCAGTAGAAGTATTATAGTAACTAACTATACTTTAATACTTCTGGTTCTGGTTTATATTAACATTAGAAAAGTACACTTAGAAATGTCAAAGATACATTAGAAGTCTGTAATGTTCCATAACTCTTATGTGTTTTTGCTTGATAAAAACCTGTTACAACAAAAGCTAATATTTATTTTCTACTAGCTGTTCCCTGCCACGCTTCGCTCTGGTTGGTTGAGAAACAAAACAAAGACAACATTTCATATAAGTTTAATTTTGCAATACAATACTCGATCGGTGCAGAACTTTTTGAGTTTTTGAAGCGTACACAAACCAACATAACAATTTTATATATATAGACTAAGCTACAAAGCGGATAGCGTAGTTATAAGATATTGTATAAATTATAAAAGATGCCAGGGCAATAACAATCAACTTACCATTGGTGTTTTTAATCCCAAATCTACGAAGCGGCGTATAAAATCTAGTTCCTTACATGTATATTTTATTTGGAGCCTACACTTCCTCCATATTTATAGACAGTCGTAAAATCGGTTCGTATGTTACGAACTTATTCAATAACTCAATTCAATTCGTTTACAAGAAAGCATTCGACTGCAACAAACTTATTTCAAGTAACTCCACAGAAATGTAATTTATACTTCCAAAGATTGGAGATTTATGTTTAACTTCACATTTGTACTGTCTTCTATTTAAATGAAACCTGTTTGATTAGTTTTATATTTATTCCCAACATAAAACATACAGTATTTACAATATTCTTAACCTACATTAAAATAATAATTATACTTTAAAAAGAAAACTTATCCATTGAGCGAGGAAAGCACTTGATCTAGCGTCATCGGTACTAACAACCAGGCGCCAATTTAAATCTTTAATTAGCGCCTGTGCACTTGAACCCCACGTCCCAAGGTCTACTCCAAAGAGAACAAAATCAAAGTTGGAGAAAAGACTTTTCAGCCGTTTATTATTTTCTGCCTGCCCTGCGGCCCCGCCAGCTTTTGTGCACACTTTTAAAATTTGTTTTAATTTTACGATGTATTAATTTTTATTTATTATTATTATTACGTGGTTATATTTGTTATGTTTCAATTTTGGTCACAAGCCATAGTTATAAATGCGTTAATTATAAATACATCACTTTTATTAATTAAATTATTAAATGTTAATGTTAATAACAACTTACACAAAACATATACCAGATCCTTCCTCAACGATTAATACCTTCAGCTGAGTTTCATCAGCGGACGTCGAGGTAGAATACGAAATTCCACCCGTATCACCTCAACGTCCGTCGATCCGCAACTGAGCGTTTTTAAGGCAGTTTTTGCCGCAAGCCACCACTATGTGGAACCAGCTGCCCACTGAAGTATTTCCGAACCAACAAAAAAAACAACGATGTGGCAAAAAAAGCTATGCCTAAAATGCTATCCGAATATCCTCATGATGATGATCACGGATTTATAGATTTTACATTTATCTGATGATAAAATTATTTTATTACTAAACGCGTTACATTAACACAATGTTACAATTATTTAAAGCTTTTTATAGCCCAAAACAGATGGAGTAACTTCAAAAATTCTGAATTATTAAATGAAATGTAAAAATCAATAAAATCATTTAAGAGCGTACTAATATAAAACATTTCAATACAGATAAAATGCATTTGTCCAAGTTTCCATTACATTTATACGTTAGATAAAACTCCATTTACATAGTAGGTATAATGTTGTCATATAATCCCTAAATGTTAAATTACAGAGGACAGTCTTAGCCGCCATTTGCACTTCAGAATGTATGGACTCATTTCACACACTTGATATTCGTCTGTGGCGTGTCTAAACCCCAGCTATAGTTAATTTTCCGGGTCAGGTGTAGAGACACTGCTACTACGATACGTAATGTAATTAGTGTAATATTTCGTATAATTACGGTAGAGGTTAGTGCTATTACTGTAGACCAGTTCAACTATATGTTCAGTTATGACATTGTATGGCAATTAAGGTTTACAATAATTTACCAAAAGAATTAAAAAATCTTCTGACTGGAGTCTTTAAAAATCGACTTGGTGTATTACTTTAGGAAAAAATGTAGTATTCAAAAAATTATTATTTTCGTGAGACACTGTAGTTGATATAAATTTTATATATAAAAAATGATATGTACGATACAAATAACATAAGAATTGACAAATTAATATGACTAATAATGTAAAATATAAAATTCCATTAAAGACAAATTTGCGCGCCATTGTGAGTGGCAGAATATGCGAACTTACGATTATAGCACCTTACACATTTTTGTACCATATTCTTGCAATAAATTATTAATAATATTATTGTTGTTATTATTATTATAAAAAACCTGCTTCGGGATTTTAATGGGAATCAGAAGATTAGATTAGTATTCTGTGCCTGACACTCGCTGTCGATTAGGTCTAAGGCCGGTCTCCTCACGATGATTTATTTAACCTAACGAATGATTTCGCTTAGACAAATAAGTCTATTGGCCCAGCCATGTTACAAATGCGTTTGGTTAGGCCTCCGGTAATGATAAGCGGAAACTATATCTGTCTCACATTTCATACAATCACTTAGACAAAAAATATATAAATCTATAAAATGTGGACCCTCATTTTAGAAAACACCGTTCTTATCGAAATACTACAGAGCAGTGTTAGCCTAGTGGCTTCAACGTGCGACTCTCATCCCTGAGGTCATAGCTTCGATTATGTCTGTGCACCGATGGAGTTTCTTTCTATATGCGCATTTAACATTCGCTCGAACGATGAAGGAAAACAAAAAGACGGCGGTATGTGTCAGGCACAGGAACCCTCGTGTGCCTGATCGACCTGCCTATTAGATTGACAAACGATCATGAAACAGATACATAAATCTGAGGCCTATCCTTAAAAAGCCACTGATTTATGTATTTTATTTTTTGATAAAAAATATATATATAATAGTTTATTACATATATTTATAAATTTCATTTTGATAAAAGCATACAATTCGACCGTAACTCAGAATCTATATTATGTAATTCATATGCTAAAAGCACTGAGTTCTAAATCTAAAAGCTTAGTGTTTTTATGCAGCTGCAGCCAATCAGATAGAAATAAAACGGTGTTGGGAAAGCGCATTTAATTTAATTTCGTTAACATTGCAGGGGTGTGTTCATTATCAAACGGAGTAAAAGCAAATTGTGTTGGTTTAAATAAGTTAACAAAGAAATATGACATACTAGCAGACCGGACAAGTGTTTCTGTGGCTAAGGTTTTTGTTATATTACGTAGTAGTAAACTATTCAAGGGAAACGGTAGGAGAACACCAGTCATGGGGACCACCATGCTTTATGGTGGTACTTTCAACACAGCGCCATCTGTTGGAATTGTGACTATTAAATAATAATAAACAAATATTTTGCAATATAATAATATTGCGGGTATAAATTGAGATGTAAGCTATCCTATCTTTTAAGTTAGATCAAACTGCATACGGTGTGCAAGTTTAAATGATATCGGTTCGGTAGTTTAAGAGTCCATAGCGGACAAACAACGTGACTCGTAATTTATATATATTAAGATTAAGCAATTGAACTATCTAAGCTAATTCAGGGCTAATTTGACTTCTGGAATGACGATGTTTGATTCGATTTTGAATATACATACACATCGACGTCCGTCGTTCCACAGCTGAGCGGTTTTTAAGGAATTTTATGCCACGCACCACCATTATGAGGAACCAGCTGCTCACCGATGTATTTCCGAACCAATTCGACTGAGGGTCCTTCAAGAAAAGTACCAATTCTTAAAAAGTCCGTGTCTATGGGCGGTGGATCACTGAACATCAGGTAAGCTTCCTGCCCGTTTGCCTCCTGTTTCAGAATAAAAATTAAATAAAACAACTAAAGGTAAATCATAGTAATAAATGCGTCCATCACCACAATTTTATTCTCATTCAGTTAAAAATTAAATAAATGTTAATGTTACTTACATAACACATACAATGATGTGGTAAATCTATGCCTAACATGCTTTCCGAATATCCCCATGACATTGGCCACACAAATTCTTCTATATATGCACAGATTAAGATTGTACTATTGTAATGATTATAAAATGAATAAATATTCTGTACTTACTGCAGCCCTAGTTGCATGTGGCCGTCTCATTCAGGTTGGGAGGGCGTAACAGGTCGAGTTCACAACTACCTCCCCCTTCCCATAACCCCCGGGTCAGACTGAGGCTTGCGAATAGACTGCTACGAATGCTACGCCGTAGCGAGACCCTGACTTCAATGAAAATTAAAAATAGAATGTAAACATTAATTTATAATTTTTTCAATTTGTTATTTTTAAAATTGGATGGAATTTAACTCGATCAACGTATTAGAAGAATACGTATAAACTATATTATATATATATATATATATAGTAGAAACTAAATTATGGTTTTATATGGTGTCAATTATGAATTTCTAAAATTAACGTCATGAGACGTTGCTTGGACCGAACGTGTTAGGTAGGTATTTGTTTCATTAATATTTTATCAAGGAATTGTAATTTATCCGTCTTTATACACGTATTTTATTGTTGGGTCTATTTACAAGACCGTACGAGTTAGTATTAATGGCCTAATGTCTTGGTGTGGACTTAGTACACTTAACCACTAAACCAAAACCGCTTATTATGACAATAATTCATGATATGGTAAATTATATTTTACAGATAGCCCTAGCTACAGAGAACTCCATAATCCTTCAAAACCTAGAGCTGGAGGCGAGTGGCAGATACTCTTGTGAAGTGTCGTTAGAAACTCCAATCTACACGAAAGCGTCTGCTGAAAAACAGCTTACAGTTTTCCGTAAGTATCGCGAGAAATATTTCAATCAACAAAACGGATAAAAATGTTGTTCATTCTAATACCAAGCTATCATTGCAGAGAGTGTAAAAGGTTCTGTTTTAGGAACTTTTACTCAATGGCGCCGAAATATAGCAAGTATAATAATATAGCAAAAGCTGCTTGAGAGAAACTATGAACTAAGGCCTAAAATTAATAAATCCCTATGTTTATTTAATATGTATGTATTTTATTCTGTCTTTGTGGGAATCTTAAGAGCATAGAATTCTAGATTTCCTCTGGGAATATGCACGGAGCGATATACAAAAAAGATTCGTTTAAAATAGGTTCGATCGAACTAAAGTTTCAGAATAGATTATTTTATTTTTATTTTATTTTGATTATATTACATAGGCTCTACAAAGCATTTTCAACAATATATAATTCAAATATTAACCATAAGTAATAAATACTTGAACTTTTGAGTACACTGTTAGTTATTTACTCAAAGAAAATTACTAAGAATTTTCACGCGCCCAATACTAGTAACGTCGAAATAAATTTAACATTTCAAGAAAGAAAACGGCAGTTGTTTATTTCGTGGATCGGGCCATTTATCAAGTACGGAGACGCTGCGGGGTCCAGTAAAGATATTTCAGACCCTTTATTCAAACAATTTGATCCCGAATCGTGTTATATATACGATATCTTTTGAACACGACCCAGACGTCAATAAATAGTCCAAACGTACCTGCATCTCATTGCTACTGCTTCTAAATTTATTAAATACTGCTAAATATATTAAACACTACAGCCCACTAGCCTTCTTCTAAATACAATCTATGAAATGATAAATGTCATCATACTCGTAGACATGTCAACTCCTTACTGCCCCATAGCTTCGATGATAATATAATATGTATATAAAATTCTCGTGTCACAATGTTCGTTCCCATACTCCTCTTAAACGGATCGACCGATTCTTATGAATTTTTTAAATGCATATTCAATAAGTCTGAAAATCGCCTACTATCTATCTTTCAAACCCCTAAGTGATAAGGAGTGTCCAACCCAAAAAAAAAATTCTTTAGACAATTGTTTTTGTTTTTATTTTTTTATGATACAGCTTACAAAAATACATACAACCCCCAATTTTCACCCCTCTACGATCGACCCCAATTTGTTATTATAGTAGATAGAAAAATGATTCCTAGAAATAATATACATGGCAAAATAACGTTTGCCGGGTCAGCTAGTGTCCTATAAACGGTGAGTTTGAATTCCGGCGAAACAATAATTATAAATATATAGATTAACTTTATTTATGAAACAGAATGTCCTATTAGGACGTAACAGATCTTCATTCGCATAGACCCAATAAGTGTCATGTAATCGATCATGTAAGTATCCAGTGAAACAAATGATAATATTTAGCAAATTGACGAATGGCATGGAAACTGTTGGCATATATAGCCCGAGTTGGTAGTTGAAACAGAATACATAATTTGCTACAATCGCCAGATTAATTATTTAATTTGTTGTTCACCTGTTTTTACATTTATGGGGTTGTTGATTTTTATCAGTTTTAGGCAAAGCTTTTAAGACGTATTATTTTTACAAAATATTAAATTCATCTCAACATTTGGTTTTGTTAAAGCAAATTGAGTCTAAATCTCTTATTTAAAGTTTATACAGGCTTGAGTTTATACACTTTACACTGTACATAAATATATATCAAAGTCAAACCCAAACTCAAAATAACTTTATTCATATGGGTACACTTATGAACGGCAAGAGAAAAGATGTTAAATTGATTCTAAATTTACATTTACTATATGTTAAAAAAGTGAAGAATTAAGTCTTTGTGTCAAACACACAAGCGTAGTATTCAGCGTATGTGCGTTCGAAACTGCAACATGGATTTCATATATTTATATATTTTCATATAGTGATCCGGCCCTCGTCTTTGAGCGAATAACTAAATGTGCCACCGATGCAGCTACTTAAGTAAATACTTAGACGGGGCTTGTAGATATGATTTCAGATACACGAAAAATATAGGGTTTATAGTAAAGTTTATAACGTTTAATAAAATCATACAGCGCTGGTGACGCTACGAATTAAAACGTTGTTGGGTCTTGGCATAAAGATTTTGTAGTCTCAGTTAAGCAAATTTTCACTTGTGCGGATATTTCAACTGTAAGATAGCGAGATTTTGATTGCCCAACTTGCGCCGATGCTCAACTAGCCCCGCTGTACTCTACCCAGTACCCATAACCGACGAGCATGCATGGTGAATGTCATGGAAGTAGATGAAGCGAGACAGGTATGTCAGGAGCGTGGCAAGTGGAGATCCTTGGTCTCTCCCTACCCCTTCGGGAAAAAGGCGACAATATTATACAGCCGTGTATTAATTTAAACATAAGCTAGCTTATATTCTTGTATAGTCTTCGGTGTGACTGGTCAGTATCCCACAGAGCCGCAGAAGCACCACCCACGGATAGAGGTGCCCCCTCGCGAGCCGCCACCCGCACCCCTCCGAGCCCGCTGTACCACTGCGCCCTCGGCCCCCGCGCCCCACGTCACCTGGTTTATAAACGGCAAAAAGGTAATCTCATATTCCATTCACAGTTATACTCTCGCTGCTCGCCTTTAATAAACAATTACCCTCTTGTTACAATTTCATTTTAACGTGGACGGAAACGTTTTTGATTGCTCCCTTTTTATCATAAGTTGTTCAATGAATGAACGATTATTTTGAACCAACATTCACTATTATTATCTAAACTATAAGGTGTTATGTCCCAACTGGCTACCCATGAGACTCCTATTCCTCAACGACTGTTTGATAAATGTACAATACACAAGGAATACGTTATAAAATTACCCTATTATTCATATAAAACGCACTCGTAAAGTTCTGTCCCTTTCTAAAAATAGGCTAGTTGTTAGATATTGATGAAAAAATGTGTAAAAACGTAACGTGCTCATTTTTTACAGCATTATAGTACTCGCGTAAAAAGACGACATACATATAATCGCTTTTATAATACAATGTATTTCCAATTTTACTGAGCAGTGTTGTCCTAGTGGCTTCAGCGTGCGACTCTCATACCTGAGGTCGTAGGTTCGATCTCCGGCTGTGCAACAATGGCCTTTCTTTCTATGTGCGAATTTAACATTTGCTCGAACAATGAAGGAGAACATCGTGAGGAAACCGACATGTCTTAGACCCAAAAAGTCGATGGCGTGTGTCAGGCACTGGAGGCTGATCACTTCTTGCCTATTAGATTTAAAAATGATCATGAAACAGATTCAGAAATCTGAGGCTAAAACCTAAAGAGGTCTTAGCGCCACTGATTTTTTTTTCTAATTTTAAAGTATTTTCAACGTTTTCAGATGGATGAGCTGCTAGCTAACTCACAAAAGTACAGAGTGTCAGTGAGCGAGCGGTCCTGGGGTGGCCGACGAGGTCCCCTAACGCAGACAAGCCCGTCACCACTTTTAACCCTTACACACATCACGCATCTTGCCACGCGACCGCCCGGTTGTACGCAAAAAGAGAAAGAGGTATTTAAAAATAGAATAGAATTATAAAAACTTCTTTTAGGAAATAGGGATTTACGTTAGTCGCATTATCGACGTTTTAGTTTGAAATGTGCGTACGTGCTCGGACGTTAAACGTATTGGATTTTGACATAAAGCAAACATAGTTCGCGCTAAGTCTTGGTATTGAATCTCACCCTAAGTGATATCTTATCTATAACTGATATGATAAACTGAACAGTTTTTTTGAATTAAATACGTTAATCTCGGTAACTCCTGATTTTTTAATCTTCAATTTGATTTATTTTAAGAAGAATTAAGATTCATTTTGTGTTCGATAGTACAATGATACAATAAAACATCACGCTATTTATATTATCATGCTATTGACCATTACGAGTAGAGCATCAATTACACAAATAATATTCAATAATAAACAGAGATTATAAACAATCCTTGATGCGGATTATATATCAGCTCGATCGGTTCAGAACTTTTTGAGTTTTTGAAGCGTACACAATCAAATCAAATCAAATCAAAATACGTTTATTCAATTTAGATGCTTCTTAGAGCATGCTTATGAATGTCAACAACGTTTACAAAATTCACGAAAGAGCAAGACTACAAACCAACATACCATTTTTATATATATAGATTATATCTAGAAACAAAATCATTTTGTCAATCAGTTGGCTAGCAACGGTATTTTGGTAGGAACGATTAAGTATGCGATCTTATAAGTTCAACGACCGCAGCACTTAGCCAAAAGTCCAATATTAGGAAACTCAAAGTATACAAAACAATGGTAACAAAATTATTATAACTACAAAACTGTAACTTTTATTCAGCGACGCGCTATACGAAAGAAGTTATTTTCTCAAGAAATGACATTAACATAATGAAATATTATTTCGTCTCGTTGTTATAAAGTTTTATATAAAGAAAATTGTATGCACGTTATGTCCTAGAAGTGCGCCTGGAATGTTTAATTGTACAAAGTCCGTGAACTGAAAATTTACATTTGTATAAACACTGAAACTGCAAAGAATCTTTCTTTGCGAGAATACTTATATACGAAGATACACTTGGCTATAGAATTTTAAATACCATTTCAAATTATATTAGTGGCTTTGGAACCTTTGCAAATTATTATTTTTAATTCTGTTAAGAAATTTAAATTATTATTTTTTTAATTATTACTCATTACCATTAAAAATATAATTATTATTTACCATTAAAAAATCTAATTAAATTTTAATCAAATACGCCAAACAGTATTATTATTTGACAGATAATTGACATTGTCAATTAATACTGACCGTTTCTTTACACGTGACTGACATATAAAAATTAATTATTTTAATAATAATTATGAATCGTTTAGTTATAAATCCTTTATTTGCAAAGTAAGTGGTATATTCAGTTTGATTAATTTAAAAAAAAAATGCATAATCAGCCATATAAAAATAGGCATCAAATTTTATTATAATAAGAACAGTTAAGTTACTTATATATAATTGTTGTTAAAACTTGTGGTCTAAATACTCTCCCACACTATAAAGTCACGTTTAAAAATTTTATCGCCTTCCCCTTACACATCTATAACTTCTGGGAAGGTGATTAAATAGTTTGATAGGCGTAACAAATTTTTAAACACATCGTGGTGCAACATTCAAGCACCCACAGCCGTGTTGGTACGGGGAGGTCCAAAAGTTCGTGGAATGGAGGGGATGGAGTGGGGATAGGGGCGCTCGCTTAGTGTCATACTAATTGGGGACTCATAATTAGTATATAAATGGAGTTTCAGCCCTATTGCGTCATTCGTTTACGAACACTCGCCTGCTTAACACGTCAATCCGGAAGAAAACTGAAACTATGGAGAAAATTGAACACCGTGCTGTCATTAAATTCCTTACCAAGCAAGGAAAGAACGCTCAGCTCATTTTGAATGAAATGGAAACTGTTTACGGGGGAACAGTGCCCTAGTAAATCAATGATTTACAAATGGCATGGTCTTTTTAAACATGGTCGGGAGTCGATTGAAGACGACCCCCGCTCAGGAAGGCCAGTTGAGGCCACCACATCAGACATCGTCGAAAAAGTGGAAAAAATTGTACTGGAGGACACCCGTTTGAAGAAAAAACAGTTATCTGCATTAGTTGGAGTATCAGATACCACAATTTTGCGAATCCTACATGACCACCTGGGTATGACAAAAGTCAGTGCAAGATGGGTACCGAGAATGCTCACGCCGCTTCAAAAACAGCAGCGCGTCGAAGCGTCAAAACATTTTTTGGAGTTGTGTATAGTTGGATGCCATCAAAGAAAAACGTCGGGGAAAATTGACCAAGGGTGTGTTGCTCTTGCAAGACAACGCGCCGGTTCACAAGAGCAAAGTTGCAATGGCTGCTCTACACACGCATGGCTTCGAATCACTAGTCCACCCACCCTATAGTCCAGATCTGGCCCCAAGTGATTTTTATTTGTTCCCCAATTTAAAAAAAGACTTAAGGGGAAGGAAATTTTCCGACGACAATGAGGTAAAGGAGGCAATTTTGGCTCATTTTGAGGGAAAAGATAAAAAATATTTTTACGATGGTTTAGAAAAATTAATTCATAGATCTAATAAATGTATTCAGCTTAAGGGTGATTATATTGAAAAGGAAAAATAAATTTACTGTTTCATTTTTACTAAAACCCTTTCATTCCACGAACTTTTGGACCTCCCCTCGTATAAACAGGCAAGTTTCTTTAAATGTTTTGAATAATTTTGTATATATTTTTACAATCATAACTGTTTAATAAATTAATGATTGTTTAGGGGTTATTTTTCTCCTTTACGCTTGTAAAGTTCTTTTTAAGTAAGACTTCTAAACACGTTTTTCGTATTGTAAAATAGTCTAATGTGTCGGCTGAATCGCTAACGACTTCAGTAAGTTAAAGATAAGAAGGAACATCATTCAAAAGTTTTCCTTCTCAAAATAGCTTTCTATTAGCGTTAATTTTACGATGGCTATTAAACATTATACAAGTTTTCCCATTAAGGTTCAGGAAATTACTTGTATGCAAATGAACCCCAACGTTACTGACATTCAGTATGCGTCACGGGCGTTTGACGATGCCATACATCGTCCGCTCGTGGGCCCGGAAGCGCTCAATGCAGTTAGCACATTAGTTTACACATATCGATTTTAACCTATACGTTTTTAAGAGGAAATAAATGCATAGAGTATAAATTTATTGAGCAGTGTTGGACTGGCTTCAGCGTGCGACTCTCATCCCCGGCTGTGCACCAATGGACTTTCTTTCTATGTGCGCATTTGACATTAGCTCGAACGGTGAAGGAAAACATCGTGAGGAAACCGACATGTCTTAGACCCAAAAAGTCGACGACGTGTGTCAGGCACAGGAGGCTGATCTACGTGCCTATTAGATTTAAAAATGATCATGAAACAGATTCAGAAATCTGGGGCCAAGACCTAAAGAGGTTGTAGCGCCACTGATTTATTTTTTATACATTTATTAAAATAAGGTAAGGTGTCATTCATGTTGGGATGGAATTGTGAACTCGAAACAATAGGGGTTCGAAGTTGGACGCAAGAAGCACAAAATAGACCGCGATGGCGAAATACACAAGGGGCTGTATAGCCATTTATGATGATGATGACGATGAAGCTGTAATTCACATAAAATCTTAAGCGTTAATTAATTTAAGTATTAGTTCACAAAATAATACAAGATTCTGCCATGGTTATCTTGATAAAAATACAGTGGCGCTACACTCTCTAAGACTTGTCCTTAGATTTCTGTATTTGTTTCGTGTTTTTTTTTACTTTCTTATTAGGTAATGGGCATTTCGTGACACATACCGTATTTGGATCTAAGGCATTCCCCTTTTTCTCACAATGTTTTTTCTTCCCCCTACTAGCGAGGTTTACTTCGCACATGAAAAAAAAATAAAAAAACATTGTATACATATTTAATACATGTCGGAGATTCAACGAGATTAATAATTACAAAGTTGGTATCACTACCGTCGTCTGACATTATTACTTAATATTTAAACACAGTGTGCGCACGTCCGGCGCAGGCGCCGATCGGAAAGCAACTCTAGCACTTCAGTCAGCAGTCTTCACGACCGATTCTACGCACTACTGAAAGCTTGACTTTGACAATTGACACATTGACACTTTACAACCTGTAAGATGTCCATGATATTGCGTGGTGTTGCCATTGTAATCAAACAAATTACACCGTGTTCTATTATAACTTAATCTCTGACATACATATACAAATACCGAGATCTTGTTAAAACATATTTCATAAACGGAAGAGTATTTTACATTAATTTAATTATTTCAGTAGTGTATACACATTGCTTATTAATTTTCAGACAGGAGGGACTACTCGGGAAGATGCCAATGCAGTCCAAGGAGTGAGTAGACATAAATGGCGGCGGCGGGAACTATTCGTGACAGTGTCGGAGGTGACAGTAGAAGTCAGTGGACGCCTGCAGCTCACCTGTGTCAGTACCATTCCCGAGTTTAGGAGCATTCACGATAAGTTTGCTGATATCCGGAATGAAACTGTAATAGGTATCTATATATTATTATTACTTTGTTTGCGTAGATATATATGTATTAAAGCCAACTGTATAAACATTCTTGTGTATAACTTTTACTGAATATCTTCTACTTAGGTGTTATAACAGTAGGTAATAACGAAATTCGAGAAACACATGAACAAAATGTCGGAATCTATTAGAGACTATAAGAAGTGTTTTTATATGTTAAGTTAAATTACTAATAACTTTTTGCTATATCATAATCTATATATATGAAAATGTTATGTTGGTTTGTGTACGCTTCAAAAACATAAAGAGTTCTGCACCGATCGAGCTGAAATTTTAGTATGATATATAATCCGCATCAAGGATTTTTTTTATCAGTTACATATCCGCATATGCCAAAAAAACAGTTTTATTAACGATCAGCTGTGTACCAGTGACCTCACCATCTGCCGGAAGCGAGGAAAACACTCGCACCACAGCGAAGCTTGGTAGGGTACAGCTAGTTTTCTATGATTTTAGTGAAGGCATCTTAGAAAAGAGCAACTTCTATGTAGCTAACAATATATTTTATTCAATTCCAGTGGATGTAGTAAACCCTTCAAGTCAACCAGAGCCAGCTTCGAATCTAACGACGGGACATAGCACTTCCGATGCTTCCAGCGAGCTCCTCACACCTCTTATTACGCATATTATATTTTTACATCTCCTTTATATTATTTGACTGTCCTTTTGCAAAAATAAGTAATCTGGCTGTGATATACATTCGAGATTAATCGCTCGGGCTTACAAAGAACGCGAGCTTCGAGGCTTCACCTAAACATCGATTAGATTCAAGTACAACCTGCTGAGGGCAATGTTTCGTATGTAAGAATGTATAATTTCTTTAAAAAATATACTTTACGATTATTTATAGGTCAGAATACTTGCTCTGACAAATTTATTGGTCGACTGGTGGTGACTAATATTCTATTTATTGTGTATTTTAGTTACTACTTATGACACACTCCAATATTTTACATACTAATGTATTTTTATGATTATTAGTAGTGAAAAATAGTTTTATTCTTCGAAGGGAGAAAGAAACGAATTCCAACTTAAACGTGGTTTAAGGCGAAGAACCTTATATTGGAATCTCACTTTCTTCTAAATGATAATTTCCTCTACAGTGCTTAATACACATACGAAGAAAAAAAAACGAAACCTCGATTAAAATATAGTTAATTAGTGAAAAATAACGCAGTCATTTTGATTTTGTTGTGTTAATCATTACGCACTTGGAAATAAAAACTTTTTGTCATGGCAAATGAATGAAACGCCGTTAAAACAATGAATTTTCAAATAACTTTGTCACTCGCTCTCGGCGTAGATGACCACGAAGGCTTGTTCGGCCTCATTCCCAAAAGTAAGTGTGTATTTTCTAAGCAAGTAATGTAATATCACAACACCCTTAGACCGTTTTGTTTACATCACTATGAACATTAAATTATTATCTTTGGTTAGAATGATTGTCACATAATAATGCTTGTTGTTATAAGACAAGCTATGTAAATGGAATAAATACAACCGTCCAGAATACGATGGAATGTAGATTGTACCAAGACGCAGGCCTCCACAGTAGCTCTACCATGACTTTGACAAAGTATTAAACGCTAGCGTAAAATACGTCATTGTGTGTAATTGTTGAAAGCCTTATGAAGGCAATCGTTAAGAATGAAACCCCAAAAATATATCTACGAAAAATATTTTCCTGTAAAAGTTCCATTCGTTTAAGAATTTTCTAAGTCAAGTCTTGTTAAGGTTTAAAATGAATGTAGGTACACCCATTGATTTTCGAACATCTTGTAAATTGTGATACAAAAGACTACATCGCGAAACACTCCTAATAGATATATTGGCCATATATCTATTAGGAGGTATTAAAAAAACTAATTGTAGAAAATGTATTGTTTGCATTAACATTTCTTATCGGAAATTATCTTTAACGAGTCAACGCAAACGATTAAATCACATTACATATTTACTTTATTTTAGGGCGATCATTTGATACAAATTATCATACTATAAAACCCACGGTAGAGTTATATGATGAATGATAGACTCACGATTAAAAAAAACAAAACGTTGTTCTCAGCAATAAACTGTGTTCCTTATATTAGTTAATACGTTAATATTAGCTAGATGTAATTACTTCGTAAGTAAAATTTTATCTTCTGCTAGATCTTCAATCTTAATAAGTAAACAAATATGATCAACGCTTCACGTATGACAAAACATAAGATTTTTTCATTAAATACTTTTTATATATAAGAGAATTTAACAACTTTCAATATTTCAATTCACGTAGAAATTTAATAGTTTAAATGTTGAAATATTTCGTGAATAAGGCTTTTTACGATAATTACCTTACTGTGCCTAGATTTTATCGAAATCGCCAAATAATACATATCACTACTCCATTGGAGATAAGATAATTTATAAAAATATATGTAAATATTTTTAATATTAGTCATGTTAGATATAGTATAATTCATAGATGCGTATCGTTCATTTATTATATTTATTTGAAATGAGTATATAGCTCCTTGTTTAATTGGGATCAAAGTATATGTAAGAGCGTAACGTGGCTAAGCCAAATGGCCAGAAGATTGTGAAATTTTCAAAAGGACTGCCACTTTTTAGTGCCGGTCAATAAAAGCTAATAAGCTATGAAACCATTTACGGCAGTACTTAATAGTAGAATTCTCACGAATAATTTCATAATTGTATACTCTTTTGAAGTTAAAATAAATCGCTTTATTCTGTGCAGTACATAACAATTATGTAAACATTAACGTTATTGGCCGTTTTGGGACGGTGTCACAATTGTATATCAATTATTTTAATAAATTATATGTTCGGCAATTGATAAAACAATACGACTTATCATATGTTGTTAAAAATGTTAAGTTTAACCTAAAAGATTCGATAAATACCAATAACCCAGTACAAAAACAAAGTTTATTAAACATTTCTTAAATTATATAAGTATATTTATTAAATATTGTAAAATTAGTTATCCTCGAAAATGTTTGTCTTTAAAGTTTCCGAAGGTCAATTTTATGAAGGTCCCCGTCCCGCCAAAATCCAACAGACCACAGCGCATGCAGTGAGGCGATCGCTGCTGCCACAGATAAATAAATATGAATTGTTGTAATACCATAGATATGGCATGCCATTTTTATTGAGCTCATAGCTCACTTATTTTTGTATTATTTTATTTTGCTGTAATGATAAACAATAAAAATATTATTAAGACAAAATTGTTTAACCATATTTATTAAGTACATTTTTGGTTGTATAATCACAATTTTAACTTGATTTAAACTACGAATTTTATGATATATGATTAAATAAAATGTATATGTTGTTCATTATAACTGTCAATTACTTAAGCTTTATTTTTTAAATAATCGTGTTGAATAAAATAAGGTGCATGTCTAAAACTACAGTTAGTCAATTGTCTTCGCCACATGGAATGTCGTGACGGAGTATGCTAATAAAATATACATACTATAAGAAAAAGAAACGTTTTTTTATTTCTCTATTTTACTTTTCCTCTTGAGCTTTACCGTTGCCAACCATACGACATTTGTTATCGTGAATATTTAGTTTAGGGAATGATATTTTTTGGGATTTCCCGCGAGATCTCATGCCATTTTACGAGATCAATCCCGAAGCGTAACATGACGAGATTGGTAGTAGCAGTGGCAGTAGTAAAATTAAAGTTAATCAATAAAAATAAATAGAAGATTTTTTTGTGTTTTCTTTTGTTCGATTTAAACAATTGGTTTTCGAAAACTACTCGAGATTGTAATTCTTTATTCCACGAGATCTCGAACTAACGATTCTCCTCGAGATTGCATTTAATAATATTTACAATGAAGTATTTCAGTCGTGAGAAATGGTTGAGTGTTTTTATACTTAGTCGATTATTCTAGCGTTTAAAAGTGTTAAATAGTCACAACACATTTCTATCATTTTTATTAATTTTAAAGTAACCATTCGGTACTTAATTGCCTTTAATAAATCACTGGGAATCGAACTCAAGAACGGTACGCTATATACATATACCAAAAGTAACCTAACATAAATTAACATCCTTTTACTATACATTCTACTTAGGGTCCTTCAAGAAAAGAGTGTACGAATTCTTAAAAGGCCGGCAACGCACTTGTTAGCTCCCTGGCAGTGTGTGTCCATAGGCGACGGTATCACTTGACATCAGGTGAGCCTCCTGCCGGTTTGCTCCGTTTTATATAAAAAAATATAGAATATATTTATTAATTCAATTTATAATCCCGCGGGAATAAATTTAAATAAAAAACATTTATAGTTTATCAAGTATATTTCAAGAATGAATGACTCGTTTCACAATTCATAAAATCTTTAAAACAATAACTTATACACAAAACTGTATCGGTCACTAATAAAACATTCGTTTCGAACGAACCACACGCAGGTCCACAAATAAAATACATAGGAATGCGATAACTTAAGTACGATTATTACATTAAAAAGTCAACAATTCCAGTAACTTTTGCGAATCAGTGCACTATATTGGTTGATTACTATAGAATGTGCTGCAATACGAACTTCCAAACCAAGATTTTCGTATTGGCTATCTAAGGTCCAACGGGGATCAAATTAACCACTGAAACAGTTTAAGAGGTATAACTTTAGTATGTCATTGTACTCTTCAAGAAGTAATTAGATTTTAGTCGCATAAAGATAAAAAAGTACTAAAGTACATTCATAAGATAGTAACATGATGTCAATAAGATCTCAGTCCCAAGTTTGCCACATCAGCGCCCCAGACATTGAGAGAACTACATTGAATCTGCAGATGCTGATTTACAAAGTAAGGGCTGATTTTGGTGTACAGTTGAACACTGTCAAAATTTGTCACTGCTGGACCGTTAAAACTAGCTCGTAGCTCAAATTTTTATTCACTCTTTATGCATTTTAGGACAAAGGTAAAGAAACCATCCGTACTAATAGTCGCCGTCGTTTATCAACAGGTTTTTACACGATTTTCGTTTGACAATTTCAATCGAATAATCACTAAATTACCTATTAGAATTCCAACATCGTCACGTTTACTCATTTTTAATGTGACTCAAGATAACAGCAAACAAATATACGATACGATTAAGAAAAAAATTCGGGAGAAACTAGGCCAAATTATGCGTGGAGTTTCCGGGACTATGTACATAGAAGGAAAACCATTGGGCATCTTATAACTCAAAGCAATTTATTTTTCAGGAATACTGAATCTCAATGATGAGTTTTTGAACCACGGAAGGTGGAATGTAATGGTCAAAGACAAAATAAAACGTTGTTTACCTTAGCTTAGAAACTAAAAACTTGGTAAATTTAACCATAGTTTTCGTTGTGAAGATATGAAACAAGCAACCCTAAGCACGTAGCTTTGGATAATTATTTCATACATTAAATCCCGCGAAATAGATAAATACGGTTTAAATCGAATTTTGGTCATCGCATTGTACATGGACATGCCGTGGCGAAGCCAATAACTATGTAATTTTTAAGTACGTAATTACATACTATGTTATAAATTTTATCCGTGCTACTTTAAAAAATTTTACGATCACGTTATGAAAATGAATAGAACAGAGCGACAACTAAATGGTAAACAGTAACAAATATAACCAAAATAAAAATAATTTGCGCAATTTATTAAAACATTTCCTATAATAAAAACATTTAAATACTCTAGTTAATCTTTGTTACACATATATTTCTAAATCTTAAAACAGTAGGTACTACAATCACAATAATATTACTCCTAAAGGTTAATACAGAAATTTATAACAATAAATAAATATTAAAATAGCATTTAGATAAAAATATATAAATAGTGTACTGGAATGCTGTGCAGTGAATAGTGAGAAACATTTTTTACAGAAAAAATCACGTAAACTGAGTACGTTTTTATCGATGAACGGTGAAATAATTACTACCTACACTTATAATAAAATTTAATTTAACTATATTATGTGCAAATCGTATTGTACTTAATGGACACAAATAAAACAATCTAATATAACGACAGAATGGCAAGTAAGTTTCATGCATTATCTAAACCAGTGTGCAACAAGATGGAAATATTACTCGGCTTTATTGTCTAGCTGCGTAACAATCTGGTTAGAAACAACTTTAGTAGCAAGCGCAGCATCTGGGATGAGAAAGCGGTCCATATCTTTAATAAGCAAGCTATCACCATCAGGCACACCATACTTAAATGTGATCAATTCCGGGTGTCTCTTCTTAGCTGTGATCTTAACAATGGTTGACAGCAGCCGTCTCGACAGCACCTTAGCGAAACCTTTCTTGTTGGGAATTTCACGTAGAATAACTAAATGTGTTTCCGTTACTACTAGGAATGAGTCATGCATATAACCATTGTATAACACTTCTTGACATTGGAAACTATTGATCACATTCGGTCCTTTTAGAAAAGACTGTGTTTGTACGATCTCGTCAGCGAGCTCGGCTGGATCCGGTCGCACGTCAGAGTACGACTCGTCGTCATCATCGTTAATGGTAAACACAGGCGGCACGTTCCTATAGCGGCTATCCTTTCGGTCAGATGTCGATACGTGCCAATCGCTTGTGTTACTCTGCGAATTTGGATTAACTATGTACTCAATTAACTTTCCTTTGACCTCCTGACTTTTAGCCCTCATTGCTGACGATAACTTGCCAAACAACTGAATAGCTGGAATGTTTTCTCTTCTCTTTGTCTCCCTTAACTCCAAATGTACGTTATTATTATTGGGAGCGCACACTAAACACTTTGCCTGATTGTGATCCTCTAAGCAATCAGTCATGTGTGGTCCAAAGTAATCGTGAATCGCCACGAATCCGCCGTCGAGCATGGACACATGCTTTATATTTCTTTTGAGGAATGATGCTACAACCATATGAGCATAGCTATCTTCTTCAGTTCTACCCGACCCAACAAAACATAAATGTTCACCAGCTGCCAGAGAGCCTGCAGCTAGAGCTTGCCTTTGGGCACTCAGCAAGCCTTGTACCGCTGTGTTAAAAGCATTGGGTTCTTGCAGCATCAGGTTGCAGTCAAGATGGAAGGCAGTTGATAAGTGACCAGCATTGTACTGCTCTGCTGGACGGCAATCAACTAAAAAAAACTTGACAGTGTCTGTATCCATACTGTCAATGGTAGCACTCTCAATAAGCTCATGGACTGCCAATGGAAGACATAAGGCTTGTGAATAGAGCTTTGAATTAATTTCAAGTCCACAATCAGAGAACAATACCTCTAGCACATCTTCACGGAAAGAAACTGGTGTCTTTAGAGAATAGTAATGAGCTAAAGAACAGAAATCTGAAACATCATTAGCATCCAAATCCCCAGGCATTTTTCTTAAGCATTCAATTATATTTGCTTTACCATCCTCCTTCATTTGCAATAGTTGTTCTCTTGCATTTATAATCATTATCAAACATAAGAAGAATATAAAGAAGGGGTCAGACCTCTGGAAGTATAAATCCCACATAAATAGAACTACTTCCAAGTTACAAGTCCCGGAGAATAGAGACCGGAGCCATGGCATACAATATTGCTCAGGTGTAATCCTTTTAGTATCCAAAAAAGAACACAGTTCCGGGTCATGATATTGAATAATCAATCGTAAAATGTGAAAAGGTACACCATTAGCCACACATCCACTTGGAATGTATAACTTTAATATCTTTTCAAAAAGGTTGTAGGTATCTGAGCGTGGTAATTTTAAACTTAAGAGTGGATATAATATTTCTACCCAGCCATTACTAGACGCATAGTTAAGAGATTTAGATTTACAATAGAATGTTATAATTGACTCAATGTCTGAAATTACCGACAACTTTTCATCATCATCATTGTCAAGTTTTTGAACAAATTTTTTCACATCATCTCTTAGATCATTTTGGTTATTCAAATCAAAAATTTCATCAAACATAAGTAACTGGTTGGCACTGTCCTGACAATTAAGACACACTAGCCAGATATCAGCACGAAGGCTATCAGGAATTCTTTTACCTTTTGTTATGTTGTTTATTTCATATGATGAGCAACCATCTAAGAGCGCTGATTCTAGCTCAATCAACCTGAAAATATAACATATCGATTTACAATTTCAAATCCTGCAACAGAGATGGCAAATATCTATGAAGGTAATATATACTTACCAAGTTGTATCCTCTTCTTCCTTTGTCATTGTTAAAATATAGGTCGATAAATCGAAATATATAAGAAAATGACACAATTTTCATAGGTAAGTCTCCATGAGTACTTAACTCCTATCTCTTGGATCTTTATGGACTTATTTCTTGTAAGAACAATGTCTGTTTAGTAAATAACTATTATTATTTTACATATGCACCAAGTAACGATCCACAATTTTGAGAAATATTAACTTTCCGTATCAATAGCATTCTTCCCGTCTTTGTGGCTTTAATTACTTATTTGTTTTTCCATCAAAATGAAAGTACCTTTAAGTTCTAACGAAAGACAGTCTGCACTCTGCAATGTACAAACTACAATATTCAATCATCAATCATTAAAAATTAGTATCAAGAAACATCATTCATGTATGTGATATGTCATTCTAGAAATGTACGAACTACGAAATACTCATTTGTGCCAAAGTATTGGCACTTGGCAGCTGTGGCTGTCGGCTGTCAAGTGAAAAATGAGTGGGTAGGTACTAGATAGCCGAAAAAATCAAACTTCAAAATTATGTTGAAATGGTTCGAACTTTGAAGAATCAAAATAAGGTTTAATATTCAGATTTCAGTGTGTTTTAACATCATAGCATAAAATATTTTTTTCAATTCTTATACCATTAAACAAATAATCAACATTTCAGATTTGATAACCCTTAACAAATTTTAATGTCTTTGAAGTGACGGTGTATGTAAGTACTAAGTACCCTTTATTACCTTAGCAAACAATGGGTAACGCAGGGAGTAACCCTCCTAAGGAATGGACAAAAGATCATCAAAGTAAACATGTTGAAGTTGGACCATCCTCTCCAACAAAAGATGGAGAGGCCTTTACATTTGACAAGAAAACAGACGACGACCGAAGCGGTCGAGACGATGACAATAACCTTGAAGAAGGAGCTCCATATTATACAAAAGCTGTGCCTGCATATGAAGATCATGATGAAGAACCTATGCCCCGTAAAAGATCAAATACATTAACTGAAAGCAATAAGAGTATAGAAGATGTTCAAGTGTTACCAACAGTCTTCAAATGGGAAGGAGGGGGAAAACAGGTTACTTTTGTTGACATCTTAGAAATTACATTAATAATAAATAATACTAACAGGCTGTTATTAACCATTACAGGTTTTTATCAGTGGAACATTTACTGAATGGAAAACAATTCCTATGGTCAAATCTCATGGAGATTTTGTAACTATAATTGACCTACCAGAAGGTGAGCATCAGTATAAATATTTCGTAGATGGAGAATGGAGACATGATCCTACAGTAGTAAGTAACCAACTATGGCATCTTATACAAACAATATCATCATGCACATTGATTAAGATTTGTACCTTATATTTTTATTAAAAAAAATTTTGAAATAAATACAAAACATTCAACTTTGCTTTTCTTTTAGATTTTCATAGGGATTTTAATATTATTATATGATTAATGTTTTATTTTATATATTATTTTTACTTTGCTAGACATAAATAACTTTAACATGTCATTTTTTTTTTAGAAAGTTGTAGACAATGGAATGGGATCTAAAAACAATTTGGTAACTGTGAAAATGTCTGATTTTGAAGTATTTCAAGCTCTTGCTAAGGACAGTGAAGGCATACACAGTTCAGCGCAGACTGAATATTCCCAGGTTTCTACTATAAACTCAATAAATTTTTCTGTAATAAAGAAAAGGAATGATTTATATGTTGTCATGAATGATAATGTTTATTTTTAGGAAATCCCACAATCCAAGCCCTGGGAAAAAGTATCTGGACCTCCAATATTACCACCCCATCTGCTGCAAGTTATTTTAAATAAAGATACACCATTATCGGTAGGATAATTTAATATTTATAATTTATTTTGATATGCCTAAAGGTTGGCTACTAGTTAGTAAGGCTTCAGCATGCAACTCTATACTTTGAGCTTTGCTAGTTTGTTTCTATGTGCTAAAATTTTTTACACCTAGTAAAAAATATCAAAAAGCAGACATTTAAAACTGAGGCCTAGACAGAGGGTTGTACCAACACTATTTTTTAAAGTAATTAATATCTATGTGGTCAACAAGCATACTAAAAAGCTAATAAAGCATACTAATAGATATTGTTTTGAAAACTCTAACTGTTTCTAATTCCAATGTAAAACAATTAGATTATACTTAACCAAATTTGACTGAATCCTTTATTTCATTTTATTAAACTTGTACTATTTATTTATTTAAATAAGATGGTATTTATTTACAATAATATGTCTTAACAACCGCACTATTTGAGGTGACAGTAATGAATGAACAACATTTAAATTTTCAGTGTGAGCCAACACTTTTACCAGAACCCAATCATGTGATGTTGAACCATTTATATGCATTATCAATTAAGGACGGAGTTATGGTGCTATCTGCAACACATAGACACAGGAAGAAGTATGTTACAACATTGCTGTATAAACCAATTTAAACAAAAATTGTAGGTACTTAAATCACTGAAAAGATAGTAAAACATAGGAAAAACATTTGATATTTTATTATTTATTTATTACCATTGTTCTTAATTATAAGCTTTTAGGTTTAATTACAATGAAGTTAAACTTTGGATCTTTTGAGATTAGAGTAACAGTCTAAAATTAAGGCCTAGATACATGTTTTATGTATATTACATGAGTATGGTTTGTCAGAGACATTTAAAAAAAGTGCATGTTAGTTGACAATTTTGAATACATGGTGTAAATTTATTTTTAGAAAATGATTATATTTTTACATTTATGGCATTATTTTAAAACTACAAATGTTTGACATATATTAAATACTTTCTCATAATATTGTAATTTAACTTTTCAACACTCCCGTTACAATATTTAAATTATAATACTGATTAATATAATCCTTTGGTAAAACCACAATCACATAATTATTTAATATCATATATGTTATGACTCATTTGTAGAATTTCTTAATAGAGAATAATGTAATATATTGATGATCTAGCCATCCTTGAAAATTTATATAGAGTTATACATTGATTATTCATAGATCTGACTACCAATTATTCATGTTGCTAGCTAATACATACCACTTAATTGGGAAATTGAATGTCATGACCATTGCCACTAACTTTACAACAACATATTAATTGTTATGTTGCATATAGTATTTTAACCAGAATCTTAAAGGAGGTGGTTCCTTTTTTTTTTTTTGTAATTATATACTAAAGATGGCCTTTCAGCTATCTTATCATATTACAATGGCATATGCCATTTTTAGACTTTCTGAGCTGTTACTTATAGCACAATTTTGAAGTTTTAATAAAAGAAAGATGCTACTTATTAATTCTTAATTTATTTTTATTGATGTAGTTTCAAACAAGTAGAAGTAGGATAATTCTGAAGAAGCCTAGGCATTCTTGTATACATTTTTGTCAGCTTATGTTATATAATCTCATAGCCTCTTAATTGTCAGCTTATTAAACAACCTCATCTAAAAGTGGCTTTTTGTCTTTTCTCATCTGTTCACTCTCAACATTAGTATTATTAACTGGATTTTTGAAATACATAGCCACAGATATAACAACTAAACAAATAGATACTATTGTGTAAAATGTAATTACTATATGGAATAAAATATAACATACCACAGCTGTTATTATTAACTCTAAAGCACTAGCATATGTTTTGAGAATTGAATTCAAATTCTTCAAAAAGAAGCTTGTCACTATTCCTACAATAGCACTATTTACAGTGATTAATATCACAAACACATCACCTAAAGATTGAAAGTCTTTAAACATAGTAAGAACTTCTCCTTTGCACATAAGAATAAAAAAGTTGCAAATGACGGAATCCAAATACATGAAAACATTTTGTAGGAATATGTCTACATTGGAACCCTTTGTTTTGAGCAAATATTCATTATAAGTGCCAGCTAAGCATGAACAGAAGTTTTGAAAGTTTATTGAAACAAAATAAATGTTAAATATCTGAGACCAGATACCATCAGCATCTCCCTTGGATGTTATTGTAGCTGCATCAAAGTTCTTCAACATACAACCGAGTGTAAGTATGCCTAGAGATATCCACTGTATAAATGCTAACTTTTTCTTGAATAGGAACTGAAAGGAAATTACTACTTGATAAATTTTTATCATATAGAATATAGATTATAATATTTTTATTAAATATTTTTAATTAATTTTGATTGCTGTTGATAACAGTATTTATTATTAATATTTAACTCACCTGAAAAATAAATGCTGTCAATACTACTCTGAATTGCAGGAGAATATAGTATGATGTTGGATCATAATGAGATAAATTGATAAAAGCTAAATTATTGTAGAAACAATAAAGCAAAGATGGTATGAAGTACTGGAGCAGAAGATTATAATTATTTGAAATAGCTTTAAATATATGTGGCTTATCTCTGAAAAAGAAATACTATTGTGAATGATCCATTTACAATTTACTTGTATACATTTTACTCTCAAGAAAAGAAAATTACACTAACCCTCTTTTATATGTATAAAGAGCGGCAGAAATGAATAGCTTTAACAATTCAGATAAAAAAACAACTAGTGTTGTGTTGTAATCATATACTCCATTTTCAGTTTTAGATGCAGTAATGAAAACACCTGAAATGAAATTTTGAATTAGTCATAGATCATACATAATTCAGAAATATATTCCTAAATCAACTAAAGTCTTACCTTGAAAAACAAATAATATTATATATAAAGCAAATACAATAAATCCTTCCTTGTTGGGAAATAACTTTTTAAATTTTTCCATTTTATGGTGTGCTCCAGTTAACTTCAAAATTTAACTTAAATTACCATTCTAGATTAAGTGCGCTAGTTAGTGCACATTCCTTAAATCAAAATACAATTTATAATAAAGTGAAATTATTGCTTTAAATTTTAATATTCATTTTACCAATGATTGTTAATTATATATGTATATGAAATTAGTAATTATTTATTTAATGATAATTTTAGCAAAAATGCAAATATAAATAAGTACTAGGAATTATTGTTCAAGCAATGATTAAACAGAGCATAACTTAAAGGGGAATCCCTAATAACTTTAACGGGAAAATTTTGATACTCAAATTACCAACTGATCTGTGATAGTCATCTTTGTACTCAAATACACCCACGGACCTATATTAAAATAGTTGATACTACGTACTAAAGTTTATGACCAAATTAATGGGCATTTCATAAAAAACTAAAAAAATCATTTTCGTTCGCATACTTTGATTGAATTTTTAATAGCAGGTTTATAGTATTCTTCCTCACCGAATAAAATTGTATTAACAACAAACCGAGATGACCTTATTTATTCGTAAGCGTTTTTTCTCACTTTTCGCTAAATGTTATAAGAGTTTAGACTTCGCTAGATGAATACATTTATTATTAATAATTAAAATGTATCAAATAAAATTTGTTTCTGTAATTCTGTATAGGTACTGTAAAGTCAAAAGTGTAAACTGAACTGTTGATAAATTGAATATTTGATACCACAGAATGACAGATCACAGAACACATCACCTTTTGAGCACAGATAAAATATCATATACTGACATTCTAAGACTTTCGACTTTGACGCTATATCTTTTTTGTTGTAATAGAAGCTAAACGCTAATGTAAGTTAGGACTCAGGACTTTGAAAACTGTGAACGTTGCGTGGTTTTTTATTTATTTTTATAGCCATTCTTCATTCTAAAATTTGATTTTGGAGTGCCATCTACTGGAAAACGAGGCAATATTAATATGTATTTTCGGGGTTGGGATAAATTATTAAGATATTTAAAGGGATAATTATTTATTTTATGAGCAATGGACTAAACTAGTGGGGTGAGATGAGAGTCGCGCCCGGTACAAGGTCTAAATGCGAACTAACTTAAGTGAATATAATAAGATATAATGGAAATGAACACACAAGCAAATCATATTGCATGGTGTCATTTACATTGCAAATACCTGTACGGTTGTAAATCGTACATGTTCCCGGGGGAGGAAAAGATGAGGGTTAGTAAAATGGAGGATGAACTTAAGACTAACAAGGTGATACACAAATTTTAATATTAAATGTTTATATGTTATGATTAGTTGTGGGTGAGAAAATGAATTACATTTATCATATTAGCTACAAAGATTCAGTTATATTTAATTCCGGAAGGAAAACACACGAAAGATCGGCGTGGAAGCTCGATCTTGTTTATTAACACTTTTATTATTATGATAATGCCTTTTTTCCCTAACTTCACACTCACTCACAACACTTTCACTTTTCACGGGGTGTGTAACTGTACTGAGCTTGACACGAACTTAGTATTGAAAGGAAAAATAATGTTAAGGATAAAACCATAGCACAGAAAGAGATGCCGCTGAAATTCTTCGCTTTAGGCTTCTTTTCATCGACCTTCTCATGGTTTAAAGATTGATTACTATTATTTGTAGGTAGAAAGGATAACTTAACGACTGGGCGTTTAATAGAACAGTTCTTGGTTTTAAGCGTGACGACTCTTACCAGCCCGTCCCTTTCGGGATGTAGCTCTACAACACGCCCTAAAGCCCATTTACCGGGCGGAAGATCTTCTGATTTTTTGATGACTATATCGTATAAGTTGAGATCTTTTTGAGGTCGTTTCCACTTTGATTGTGAGAGATATTCATTCTTCCATTTGAACCGAATATTATGATAGATTTTCTGCCATCGAGTTCTAAGATCATTTTCTTGTTTTTGTAACCATCGAGGTATTTTAAATTGCGTTATATAGGATATGTCGGCTTTTATTTTATTCCATTCTAAGACTAATTTATGAGGTATCGGCTGATCCCATCCTAGATCAGACTTCCAAGTTTCTTGAAATAAAATTTTAAGTTTTGTAGTGACTGGTGCTAACCAGCCCGAAGGGTCATAAAATTTTGAGATTTCGGACAATAATTGTCGCTTAGTAGGGGTAATATTTGGGATATAATTAATAGGATAAAAGATAAATTCGTCGGCATTGGGATTCCAACGAAGGCCTAAAGTTTTAGTTGACTTCTGGTGCTTAAAGTCGAATTCTTTTTCGGAATCGTTCATATCTTCTAAGAGAACAGGTAAGTTTGAACGCCATTTTCTAAGATTGAAACCTCCAGATTTGAGTATTTTAATTAAATCGTTCTTCAGCTCTATTGCTGTTTGTGCAGAGTGAGTACCATGCAACAGATCGTCCATGTAAAATGAGCTTTCTAACACAGCAGGTGCGATACTGTAAGGATAATTTGATCGTTCATCGATTGCAAGTCTTTTCAGGATCATCATGGCCAAGAAAGGTGCGGCCTTAGTTCCATAAGTTACAGTGGCTAGTTGAAATTCACCTAACGGTTGGGATTGATCATCTCTCCAAATAATCTTCTGGTATTTTTGATGTTCTGAATGAAGCCAAATATTGCGAAACATTTTCTCTATGTCGGCT